TTCTTTCTGTTTCAATTTATTTTGTGTCCCCCACACTAGAAAGTAAAGAGGAAGCTCCTCTGTAGGGCCAAGTGTGTCTCTTGTTTTCCCCTGTGCTCCCAGGGCTTAGCACATGGCCTGCCACAAAGTAAGTTGGGATGAATTTCTGTTAGGTGAGTCAGCAAAAGGGCCCATGATGTCTTAGGTAAAATTCCCATCCAGCACAATGGTCTCATGACCAATTTTATTCTTTCTTCCTTGTAACCAAGAAGGCCTGAATGACTTAATGTTTCAAGGACACAAAGTGACTCAGCCCTTAGGACTTATCATACTACCTTGCACAAAGGAGGCCCACAGGAGTACTTGTTAGATGACTGAAGAATCACTGAAGCTTGTGATTCTTAGCCCTAGAAAACTTATTAAGTTCCAGGGGTCAGATAACCTCAGACATTTCATTATATTGGGTATTTCATATGTAGCAAATGATCACTCAGAAGAATGAGTTTGTAAATTTCATTGGCTATTCAAAGACCTAGACTCGAAATGGCCATCATCTGCTGACCCTGATATGGAGTCATTGGGGCTGGGATGGTCCCTACACATTGTATTTCAGGGCTAAGGTATATAAAATGTGGGGCCCAAGTAAAATGGAAAGGTGGGCACCCTTGTTATAAAGATTAAGAATTTCAAGATGGTGACAGCATAGAATAAAGCAAATGTAGGACCCATCTAAATGTGGGGTCCTGTCCAAATGTGGAGGCTGCAGCCCATGAAGCCAGTGCTGACCAATATGATGCTCTGAAGAGGCAGAAAAGTTCAGGCCTCATCCTGGGCTCCAGTCCATAGAGTCACATATGTCACCTAGCCCAGACACCAGCACAAAATAGCTGCTTATTATACATATATATTGTATGTATAACATATATGTCACATGTATATATTATATATAGTATATATAATATATATGTTACATGTATATATTATATATATTGTATGTATAATATATATGTCACATGTATATATTATACATATATTGCATGTATAAAATATGTTACATGTATATATTATGCATATTGTATGTATAATATATATGTTACATATATATATTATACATATATGTTGAATCCTGTATGTTAATATATGTTAGTACACGCACCTTGGATGCATCCCAAGCAGAGTATCTTTATAATGGCTCCAACAGACTTTCAAATTCCTTTGATATTTCTTTCTGCCCTTACTACTTGCCCAGGTTTTCTGAAACTTTTCATTCTGAAAATTTTAATTCTGAATATTCTGATCTCTTTCTTATTTGAAAGAGCTTACCCACATATCCATGATATGTGTGTGTGTATTATACATATATATATGTATGTATATGTACATACACACCTATAGTTTGTGATAAGCCTCCTTGGGTGGAGACTAGCCTTGATAGACTTAGTCATTTTTTTTTCTTTTTTTTTTTTTTATAGTTTAGCACATTTAGCATAGAGCATGGTCTTTGCATGGAGACACCAGTTTGAACTTTTCAGTGGAACCAGCTAGACTGTGGCAAGGCCAGGCCAGGCCAACAACTTTTCCTTGAAACTGAGTCTTCTGTGTGTGGAAGGAAGAGTGTGTGTGATACAAGGTCTCTAAGACTTCTGAGACCACCTGAGTAACGCCCCACCTCTGGGTCTGCCAACAGGTACAAGTCAGCAGCGGTGGCCGCCAGCATCATCAGGCGCTCCCACCCCCTGACCCCTGCCCAGAGGCTGGTGGGCTGGATCGACCACATCCTCCAGACAGGGGGTGCGGCCCACCTCAAGCCCCATGCCCTGCAGCAGCCGTGGCATGAGCAGTACCTGCTGGATGTCTTCTTGTTCCTGCTGGTGGTCACCCTGGGCACCCTGTGGCTCTGCGGGAAGCTGCTGGGCATGGTGGCCAGGTGGCTGTGTGGGGCCAGGAAGCTGAAGAAGGCCTGATGGGGGTGCAGCCTTGATGGGTGTTTGGGGAGCCACTGGCTCTAGAAGGCTTTCCCCAGCACAGGGCAGCCCTGGTATCTTCCCCATATTGGCACCTGAGGGTGGCACACAAATTGCTCTTCACTGTCTGCTGCCTCTGTTTAAAAGTTCTTGTGAAACACTCTTGGGCATCTTTTTTTTAAAAAAAATTGTGGGGGCGCCTGGGTGGCGCAGTCGGTTAAGCGTCCGACTTCAGCCAGGTCACGATCTCGCGGTCCGTTGAGTTCGAGCCCCGCGTCGGGCTCTGGGCTGATGGCTCAGAGCCTGGAGCCTGTTTCCGATTCTGTGTCTCCCTCTCTCTCTCTGCCCCTCCCCCGTTCATGCTCTGTCTCTCTCTGTCCCAAAAATAAATAAACGTTGAAAAAAAAAATTAAAAAAAAAAAATAAAATAAATTGTGGTAATATGTACAGCACATAAAATTGACCGTTTTAGCCATTAAGTATAGAGTTTAGTGGCATTAGGCATTCTTGTTGTGGTGTAAACATTACTATCATCCAGTTCCAGAACGTTTCATCTTCCTTAACTCAGACTGCACTGATGAAATAATAAATGCCATACCACCCACAACCCAACCCCTGAAGCTCTTGGCAACCTCTGTTCTACTTTCTGTGTCTGTGAATTTGATCTTGGCTTCTTGACTTGCCTCTCATCAATCAAGTCCTCACTCAGACCCACACCTTCAGCAGACAGCCCCGCCTTCCACTGCACTCCACACTCCCTGTTTCCAGACACAGCACCCTGCTTACTTCCTCCTGTTGTTCCCTGGAAAGGAGGTATGTGCAAAACTACCTTCAAAGAGCGAAGAAGCCATGAAACTGAAGAAAAAGGCCAACAAGTCCAGCTTGATGACAAATGGTTTATTAAGGGGACATATGGACAGAAGTTTGTCCATCTCGTGGGACACCACAAGATGAGTCGATGCCTACAACCCCACCCCCTAACAGACCTGCTTTTATGGCCCTAAAGGCTGGTGAGCACTTTCTGGGGGGCTACCCAGGAGGAATCATATCCAGAGCAGATCCAGGAAGCTTTGCCTGGAGGGTTTACTCACAGGTGTAGTTAAACAAAAGAGAAGAATGGGGGGAGAGGCTGTATTTAAGAGGCTTTAGGTCACAAAGCGGTCATCATGGTGGAATTTCTCAAGATGGCTTTAGTCTGGTTCATATACTCACTCTCTCAGAAACTTCTCAGTCCCTTTCCCTCTTTCTGTTCTTTCATTTTTCATGATGGCATAAGATCTTGGCCAGTTCTTCCATTTTGGGTTTTCCTCTTGCATCTTCTTCTCACCTCACCTCCAAGCTCAGGAAGCCTGGCCTCTGTTCTGCAGTTAGGCAGGGGTGACTCTCCCAGGACTCCACCTGTGGTCTCTGTCCCAAGTCAGTCCTGGGAGAGCACCTCCTTTGCTGGTCAGACCTGGAGGCTGTCTTTGGCCACAGCTGATGCTATGGTTTTCACTTCCCACAATTTCCTTCTCAAGTTTCCCACTCTTAAAAATGTAGTCACGGAGGAGTGCCTGGGTGGGTCATTTGGTTAAGCGTCCAACTTCAGCTCAGGTCATGATCATGTGGTTCATAAATTTGAGCCCCTCGATGGGCTCTGTGCTGACAGCTCAGAGCCTGGAACCTGCTTCAGATTCTGTGTCTCCCTCTCTCCCTGCCCCTTCCCCACTCACAGTCTGTCTCTATCTTTGTCTCAAAAATAAATAAACATTTAAAAAATGTAAAAAATGTAATCAACAATACCTCTAGTACAGAACCCGGACCTCTCTGTGAAGTTCTGAGGCATCAGGTCCAGTGACTATGGCAGTTCTGAGGACTTTGTTGATTTAAAAAAAACAATCATTGAAAAGGTAAGAAATATAAAAGATGATAAAATGAATGAGTAAAATTTGATGAGGAACAGCATATATATACAGTTTCAAAATGTCTCCTTGCATCTCATTTCCTAATTATAGGGTAAAAAATACCAATGTTACAATCAAGATCTTGGTGAACACCACTTTAAATAAGCGATAGAGTTATCTCTGATGATAGGACCATCTGACATCATGTGTTTCTCAGTGTGATTCACTGAGATGGAATCAACACCACCTTGGTAGTAGTCCCACCATGTCCCCTAGTAACTTGAAGTATAATGAGAAAACATCAGACAAACCCAACTTGGAATCCATCATACAAATAAGCAGCTTGTACTTTTTAAATCATCAATGAATAGAAAGACAAAGAAGAGCTGAGAAGCAAATTCTTACTAAAGGAGATGATATAGACATGATAACTAAATGCAATGTGTGATCCTGGCTTGGTTCCTGCACCAGCAAATTCATTTCACAACATGGGATATTATTGGGACAATCGGATGTAATGAAGTAAGGTAAATAAAGTAGTGTGATTGCCTGTTTTAAAACATTGTGTCTTCCTAAGCAGATTAATTTTTCCACTGGGAAGATATAATATCTGAGCAGAGGGTAACTGTGAAAGTGTATGAATGTAATCACATAGCTTCATACTATAGCACAAATACAGAAAGATTATGAAGGGAAAGAAATGGAATAATGTTGACAGAGTTTACAAATATTTCTAATAAATAATTTCAAACATTTATAAGAACAGAACTTCTTGCTGCCCACCACACAGTCCTATTTAGTATGCCCATTCAGAATTATAGACTTAACCTTTAGAGGTTCAGTCCTTCAGGTCAATACTTGGCCATCCACCCAGGGGTGCTAAACATTTTGGGACACTAGCACTTTCACCGTATGTTACTTTCCTAAGAAACTTCCTGAGCAATAAGTGTAGGTCATTTTCATTTGGGAATAAGCTTCTGGGATTTTGACATTGGAACACTTAAAGAGATTTAAGGAGGTACCTGGGGAAATGGGGAAGGGGGATGACAGTAGGAGGTCAATAGTGCAATTAAGAGGTGGGAAAGTTTGGGGAAAGGTCCCTAAAATGTAGATAGGTCTGATTCATCTTGGAAGTGACTTCCTAAAGTTCAGAGTATCTTCTCTGCAGAGAGTGTGGTGATTATTCGGACAGAGAAGGGTTAAGGAGAGCTCACTAACCCCTCCTCCCTGCTGCTTCTGGTTAGGGAGGGTGAAGACCAAATAGCCAGTAGAGCAAGCACCCAGGAGGAGGAGCAGAAAGGCCAGAAGCTATAAACAGAAAAGAAAACAGACAGAACCCATCCCTCACCTCTTCCCAAGCTTCTACCAGAGCATTTCCTTGGCTGCCAGTGCAAAGCTTGTCCCCAAGGCATACAAGTCGCCGTGAGGGACTCAGAGAAGCAGAGCACAGGGCTCTGGGCACAAGGCTGGGATCTGCAGCTGGTACAGGAGGGAGCATGACAGGCCAGCGGGCGCTGCTGCTAGCTGGCTTTCTTCTGTCTGGGTTCCTGATCCCAGAGGCCGCCAAAATTCTGACTGTATCCTCACTGGGTGAGTGCTGGCAACAGAATCAGACACAGGCGCATCCCAGATGCTCAATCTAGCCCTGCTTCATAGGTCATTCTTTGTGGTTTTCCAGAGCTTGTTTGGATCCCAGGATAGAGGAGGGAGAGGTGGAAAGGCAGGGGGTTCACAGAGGGGTCCCCACTGCTGGTGTGGGGAAGCTAGTTCTGGAAAAAGCAATGGTTTTCTTTCCTCTTTTTTTTACCTTTTTTTACCTTTTCTGGAGGTGTGTCCTATTCTGCATTGCTGGGGCCAGAATTTCGATCCAATGCTGACCTGGAGACCTTGAGCTGCCTACTCCTGGGTGCAGCCGGGATTTTCAGAGGCACACCTTAAAAGTCTGAGGGTGCTGTAGTTACCAATAGAAAGTGGAAGGTGAGGTCACTTTCAGGCTCTTGCAGGCCAAGGAAAGGGACTCCTGGGGGTAGCAGCACAAACGGGGCCTGTTTCACTAATAGGAAACCTGGAAACTGGGCAGAGAAAATCAATTGGGAACAGGTCTCTTTTTGCCCTTGCTGCTAGAAGGTTTTGAAGAACAGTGAAACAGTTAATTCTGTGTGAACCCAGTTTTAATGCCTTTACTTTTGCTGCAAAGGGAACATAAATGGAACAGGAACGTTTATCAGGATAAAGAGGCATCACAAAATGGAGTTCCCCCAAGATATTTTTTTTTTTGATCCATTCTGACAGGATACGGGGCTCCTGGGGTCACTTTTAGATCCCCAAGAATCTGGGGATCGTGGGCTAGAAGTCATTGAGGTCATCTAATTGGGCATCTCCCTTTTATTTCCTGACAGGGAACCTAAGGGTCAGGGAAATAAGGGGCCTTTTACAAGAGCACACCAGACCTCCCTGATGTCACACACCTGGACTTAACCTACTGTTTCTTACCTCAAACCTGTCCTCTTCCCCAGACTCTATGCTGTACAGTGGGGATTCCTAAAAATAAGTATTGAAAAAACTCTGTTTTCCATTTTAAATCTATTTTTAATGATAGTTAAAGGCAACAGAAAAAAAGAATTGCCCCACCTCTTGAAATCGCATGTCCTCTGGACTCTGAGAGGGGGCAGGTGTGGTTTGGAGGTGTTGGAAACCCTGCCTCTGCCCCAGAATGCAATGGGATCACCATGGTCCTCAGGAATGGCTGCCTGTGCAGGAAGCCTTTTCCCCTGCATCCATTTCTTACAGGGGTTAAAGGTGAGCCAGAGAAGGCATCTAAGGGTGTAGGGTTTGTGCTTTTATGTAATCTGTGTTACATCAGGCAACACAAGTATAGATATAAAAAACTAGAATGATTTCCACAGATATACACCATTACTGTAGTCCTACATTCATCTGTCCTGACCCAATCATCATGAGATCATTGTCTTCCAAACAACCCCCACTTTCCAACATAGGCAAATTCTACTCCTTGACCCATAGATTCAAGCAAAGTGCTCCATGATATTACATGGTTTTAGACATTGGTGTGATAATCTGTACCTCCACAGAGAATCACACTTCTAATTCCTCAGGATCCCAGGATTTTCCTATGTTGGGTGATGTCCCAGTTTTATATACACACAGGATCCTACAGTTCTACCCAAAGGGTTCACAGTTATCCTGAATGCTTTAAATTTGATGTTTAGTAAAATGCAGGACCCAACTGAGGAACATCCTGCCAAATATATTTGAATCTGAAGAATCTTGGCTCTGAGCAGTGGCTCTATCCACTTCTGCTTCTGTGGCTTGGACTGATATTCATGTTCCCATGTTTCTGGCTTCCATGTTAACATAAATTTCCAGACAGAAGGATTCCAGAAATTGCTTTGATTGATTGTCCTTTAGAAAACCATTATTCTCACATACATAGTCTTGTGCCAAAATTTTCCACAAATTTCCTTTCCTAAAGGACACAGTACCTCCATAAAGGCAGCCTAAATTGCAGCATGTGCCCAGGATTGGGAACTCCTTTAAGCTTAAGCATAGAGAAGGTCATCTCACTAGAATGGAGATCTTGAAGTGCAAAAAGGAATCTTTCATGTAAGATTGCTACAAATTAAGACTTGGTCAGAAAGAAGGAGGGTATCTGGTCTGGGGTTTACCCAAAATGAAACCAAAGGACTAAAATAACTCATCTTCTACTGACCACCAATTCTTTGCTACCTTATCCTGGATCTCCATTCCCCCACATCAATTTCAGACCCTCTGTTCTCACCTTTACAAAAATAAAATTTTGTATTATTCCTAGGTGGAAGCCATTATCTACTGCTGGACCGGGTATCTCAGATTCTTCAAGATCATGGTTATAATGTCACCATGCTTCTTTATGGAGGAGATTATTTAATCCCAAGTAAGTTTTTTCTGGTAATTATTAAATTTATCTATCCCAGTAAAGGATATACAATGTCTTTTGTTTCTTTGTTTGTTTTGTTTTTTTCTTTTTTAAAAAAAAATTTTTTTTTTCAACGTTTATTTATTTTTGGGACAGAGAGAGACAGAGCATGAACGGGAGAGGGGCAGAGAGAGAGGGAGACACAGAATCGGAAACAGGCTCCAGGCTCTGAGCCATCAGCCCAGAGCCCGACGCGGGGCTCAAACTCACGGACGCAAGATCGTGACCTGGCTGAAGTCGGACGCTTAACCGACTGCGCCACCCAGGCGCCCCATGTTTTGTTTTTTTCAATATATGAAATTTATTGTCAAATAAATTGTTTTGACAATTTGTCAAATTTATTTGACAATAAATCTTTTCCCATTCCGTAGGTTGCCTTTTAGTTTTGTTGGTTGTTTCCTTTGCTGTACAGAAGCTTTTTATCTTCATAAGGTCCCAGTAGTTCATTTTTGCTTTGAATTCCCTTGCCTTTGGGGATGTGTCAGTAACAAATTGCTACGGCTGAGGTCAGAGAGGTCTTTTCCTGCTTTCTCCTCTAAGGTTTTGATGGTTTCCTGTCTCACATTCAGGTCCTTTATCCATTTTGAGTTTATTTTTGTGAATGGTGTGAGAAAGTGGTCTAGTTTCAACCTTCTGCATGTTGCTGTCCAGTTCTCCCAGCACCATTTGTTAAAGAGACTGTCTTTTTTCCATTGGATGTTCTTTCATGCTTTGTCAAAGATTAGTTGGCCATACGTTTGTGGGTCTAGTTCTGGGGTTTCTATTCTATTCCATTGGTCTATGTGTCTGTTTTTGTGCCAATACCATACTGTCTTGATGATTACAGCTTTGTAGTAGAGGCTAAAGTCTGGGATTGTGATGCCTCCTGCTTTGGTCTTCTACTTCAAAATTACTTTGGCTATTCAGGGCCTTTTGTGGTTCCATATGAATTTTAAGACTGCTTGTTCTACTTTTGAGAAGAATGCTGGTGCAATTTTGATTGGGATTGCATTGAATGTGTAGATAGCTTTGGGTAGTATTGACATTTTGACAATATTTATTCTTCCAATCCATGAGCAGGGAATGTCTTTCCATTTCTTTATATCTTCTTCAATTTCCTTCATAAGCTTTCTATAGTTTTCAGCATACAGATCTTTTACATCTTTGGTTAGATTTATCCCTAGGTATTTTATGCTTCTTGGTGCAATTGTGAATGGGATCAGTTTCTTTATTTGTCTTTCTGTTGCTTCATTGTTAGTGCATAAGAATGGAACCGATTTCTGTACATTGATTTTGTATCCTACAACTTTGCTAAATTCATGTATCAGTTCCAGCAGACTTTTGGTGGAGTCTATCGGATTTTCCATGTATATCATGTCATCTGCAAAAAGTGAAAGCTTGACTTCATCTTTGCCAATTTTGATGCCTTTGATTTCCTTTTGTTGTCTGATTGCTGATGCTAGCACTTCCAACACTATGTTAAACAACAGCGGTGAGAGTGGACATCCCTGTCGTGTTCCTGATCTCAGGGAAAAAACTCTCAGTTTTTCCCCATTGAGGATGATGTTAGCTGTGGGCTTTTCACAAATGGCTTTCATGATCTTTAAGTATGTTCCTTCTATACCTACTTTCTCGAGGGTTTTTATCAAGAAACGTTGCTGAATTTTGTCAGCTGCCTTTTCTGCATTGATTGACAGGATCATATGGTTCTTATCTTTACTTTTATTAATGTGATGTATCATGTTGATTGATTTGCGAATGTTGAACCAGCCCTGCATCCCAGGAATGAATCCCACTTGATCATGGTGAATAATTCTTTTTATAAGCTGTTGAATTCGATTTGCTAGTATCTTATTGAGAATTTTGGCATCCATATTCATCAGGGATATTTTGGCCTGTAGTTCTCTTTTTTTACTGGGTCTCTGTCTGGTTTAGGAATCAAAGTAATACTGGCTTCACAGAATGAGTCTGGAAGTTTTCCTTCCCTTTCTATTTTTTGGAATAGCTTGAGAAGGATAGGTATTATCTCTGCTTTAAACGTCTGGTAGAACTGCCCTGGGAAGCCATCTGGTCCTGGACTCTTATTTGTTGGGAGATTTTTGATGACTGATTCAATTTCTTCGCTGGTTATGGGTCTGTTCAAGCTTTCTATTTCCTCCGGATTGAGTTTTGGAAGGGTGTGGGTGTTTAGGAATTTGTCCATTGCTTCCAGGTTGTCCAGTTTGTTGGCATATAGTTTTTCATAGTATTCCCTGATAATTACTTGTATCTCTGAAGGATTGGTTGTAATAATTCCATTTTCATTCATGATTTTATCTATTTGGGTCCTCTCCCTTTTCTTTTTGAGAAGCCTGGCTAGAGGTTTATCAATTTTGTTTATTTTTTCAACAAACCAACTCTTGGTTTCAGTGATCTGCTCTACATTTTTTTTAGATTCTATATTGTTTATTTCTGCTCTGATCTTTATTATTTCTCTTCTTCTGCTGGGTTTAGGCTGTCTTTGCTGTTCTGCTCTATTTCCTTTAGGTGTGCTGTTAGATTTTGTATTTGGGATTTTTCTTGTTTCTTGAGATAGGCCTGGATTGCAATGTATTTTCCTCTCAGGACTGCCTTTGCTGCATCCCAAAGCGTCTGG